CTCACTCACTCACTCATTCACTCACTCAATCACTCACTCAATCACTCACTCACTCACTCAATCACTCACTCACTCACTCACTCACTCAATCACTCACTCACTCACTCATTCACTCACTCAAGCACTAACTCACTCACTCACTCACTCACTCACTCACTCACTCACTCACTCACTCACTCTTCTTAATCTTATTCCCTGTTTTATCAGGGTTCACCATGGCCAATTACTCTGGCATTTGTTTTACTGGTAAGTGCCAAACCAGTTACAACCCTCAATGCTGTGAAACACCCACACACTCTCCTATTCACACACAATTTAAATTTAAGCAATTCTACAGCGGCCGAGAGAGCTTAATGTGCTGCAAATAAAAAAAAACATGTGCAATTACAAAAAGCGGAAATTTCTTCAACATTTTGACAACATGTGCTGCAAATCCTCACAACGCAAACACATTTTTAAAAAACGTGCTGCATTTTCTCACAACACAACAGAAATGTTTCAAGAACACCCAAAAAAACATGACGAACCCGGCTTTTTAGGTTATGGTTATTATGGCTAATAAATTCTAAAGACACTAGAAATCAAGATATTGAAATAAACAAACAAAAGTCACCTTTCAAAGATCACCTACAACTACACTGAGCAATAGACACTGCACAGCGCTGTCCGTCACGGTTTGCGTTGTGAGAAAATGCAGTGTGTTTTATTAATTGTTTACGTTGTGGGAAAATTCAGCATGTTTTTTAAAAATGTGTTTCCGTTGTGACGATTTGCAGCACATGTGCTGTCAAACTGATCTTTTCTGGCGTTTTTTGTAATTGCTCACACAGACACAGGCAGAACCTGAAAACTCCACATAGAAAGATCTCCTGGTCCAGGCAGCACTCAAACCAGCAACCTTCTTGCTGTGAGGCAACCATGCTGCCCTCATAAAGCCAAAGGGTAACTCTAAGTGAAAACAGTCATGACTGCCATACTGAACAGCCATTCAAAAAGGTGCTTTAAAATAAAGGATGTCTAAGGTTAGAACTGACAATGATTCTTTGTGCGTGTTTAATTTGTCAGTTTCTTTGGTCCACTACACCCTTCAAACCACTCAATCTTGGGAGTGGAAGGCCTTCAGAATGAATCACAGGCTTCCGTCATTGCTTTGCGTCTCACCTTTCTTCCTGGCCTGGGCGATGACATCAGCGGCACTCTTGCTCATCACCTTAGTGATGTAAAGTGGGCAGTTGGTCTGATTGGCGACTGTTACAGAGCGGTTCACTGCCTCCGCCTCCACCTGAATCATGGAGAAACCAAATCATTAGAAATGTTTGCAGAACAAACCAAGACTCCTACTAAAGGGAAAATGGAAAATCATTCCCCAGAATTTACTGCTATTTACCTCCTCTGGACGACTGAGGACATGTCCCTCTGGTCCAGTAATACCCAAGTCCAAGATCCTGCGCTGCTCCTGTGGAAAAGAAAGAAAGAAAGAAAGAAAGAAAGAAAGAAAGAAAGACAGAAAGACAGACAGACAGACAGACAGACAGACAGACAGACAGACAGATATAAACAGACAGATAGATGGATAGATGGATGGATGGATGGATGGATGGATGGATGGATGGATGGATGGATGGATGGATGGATGGATGGATGGATGGATGGATGGATGGATGGATGGATGGATGGATGGATGGATGGATAGATAGATAGATAGATAGATAGATAGATAGATAGATAGATAGATAGATAGATAGATAGATAGATAGATAGATAGATAGATAGATAGATAGATAGATAGATAGATAGATACATAGATAGATAGATACATAGATACATAGAGACAGCAGAATGAGAAGATAACAAAAGCATGAGCTCGCTGAATCTTTAAACAATGATGTCATAATCTCAATATACTGTATATATTAAAAAAAACAATACATTTTATCTACACAACCAAACTTTGTCCTCATTACAAAGCATTTGCTTATCTTCATCATGATAAATATACCTATCCGTAGCCAAAAGTCATCTGCAATTAATTATATCGACCTCATGTAGGAATATTTGCTTTGGTTTAGCATGCCAGTATAAAGTCTGAGTGTTCATTGGGGAACATATGTTTTGATTTAACATCTCCAAACAGTTTATTGTTGATAGTAACTGTGAGTAATGGAGTTCAGTGCTGGACTGAGGATCTCACCTCGGCTATGATGTCTCCGTTCTCAGCGTGGACCTGAGCGATGGCCCCGAGGTCCCGAATTACACTGAACACTTCGTAGATCTGCACTCAAACACACATCTGAACTCATTCAAGGGCTAAACTCAGAAAGGATTGACAAATATGACAGAAGCATGCTTAAAACAGATGCAATACTCATCGGCTGACTATTTATGCATCATTTGTTTATAAATTAGCAAGGGACTGTACTAATAAACCATTGAGAATTATTATATTGGAGCACTGTGGTTTTGAACATGCGTGGTGCTTTAATATACTAATTCTTAATGAAATATTATGGAATTGTTTGAATAGTGAATAGTGAAAAAAGCAACATCCCAGCAGACACACAACGTCATAATATTAGGTTAGACTTAGGTCACTCTAGAGACAATCTTATTTTGTCGTCCAATAAAAAACATCAATAGTTTGTTGATTTTAGGTTGTGTTGAAAAGTTGGAAAAATCCAACATTGAGTCAACATCTTAAACCAATGTTATATTGATGTCAAACACTGACATTGATTCGTCAGGTATGGCAACTAAAATCCAAAGTCTAATAGACGTCATATTGGTAACATCCACACAACGTCCAGCTGTATCATCATTAAACGTTAATAGTTTGTTGATATTAGGTTGTGTTGGAAAATGACCCAAATCCAATGTTGAGTCAACATCTTAAACCAATGTTATACTGATGTCAAATACTGACATTTATTCATCAGGTATGGCAACTAAAATCCAACGTTTGATTGACATCATATTGGTAACGTCCACACAACGTCCAGCTGTAACATCATTAAGACTGATTTATACTTCTGCGTCAAACGCCGGCGTATGCTACGGCGCTGACGCATAGCCCTTCGCCGATGGTCGCTGACGTGCACCTCTCAAAAATGTAACTACACGTCGCAACGACGCGTAGCGCAAGCTCTGTGATTGGTCGGCTTGGTAGCGCTGACGAGTCTGGGCGGGACCGAGAGCCGTGCGAATGGCTGGACGCGAGCCTGATGGAGCGATTGTTTACAAATGTGGAGTCCTGTGAAGGAGCTCCTGATGGAAAGTTTTGTTTTGTTTACCTCATAGTTAAAGTTGTTGCACGTCCGCCGGTTCCTGCCTCAAAATGAGCGAGTTTGAGCCACTTGTACATCCAGGAAGTGTTTAGGAAAAGCAAAACATCAGCGAAGAAACTCGACACAGAGAAACATTTACACCTCACTGCCAACTAGCGTTTCGGAAGTGTTAATGCAGACTAACAGAGACAGCGCGCAGAAGTATAAATGCACAGCTACGCGCGTTGCATGCGCCGTGGGTTACGCCGGTCACTTGACGCAGAAGTATAAACCAGGCTTTAGATGTTAATATTTTGTTGTTTGTTTTGTTAACATTGATGTCGGCCTAACTTCAACCCAATTTTCATTTCCAAACACAATATGCAACATCGCGCGATGTAGGGGCACAACATCAATCTGACATCATGTTGACATCCTGTGCCTGCAGGGATAATGAATTCAGGACCAAATTTTAAAAATGTATTACATTTTTATTTTTTTATTTTAAAGTCCACTGATTTGGTCCTCCATAGGCTTTTACTTAAAATAACAAATATAAAAACTGACTGATTGAATGGCTTAATGAAAAATTGTATTAATTTGTTGTTTGGTTTATTAATTTTTTTATTACATAGGCATTTTTCTGTTACATTCAAAACCATAAAATAAATAAGCACATTAGTAAATGAAATGAATAATTACATCAATGAATTAATAAGTTAATAACTTACAATTTAAATACAATTAATGTTGAGATCATTCAGTCCAGAATAGATTTTTGGGCATTTTCCCATACTCTTTATTACAAAGAATTAATAAATTTCATTAAAGTTATTTATCAAATAGTATGTACATGTTAAAAACCACAGTCAAACTATGGTATTTTTTCTAATTACATCATTTGGCAAATTAATATAAAAATACAAATAAATAAATGTAAAAAATAAATAAATAAATAAATGTAAAAAATACACACGTAAAAATTTAAAAACAATTCTAGGCTATTTAAGATCTTCTGCATTGTTAAATCACCAGTGGCAGTCAGAATCTGCAGACATTTTTTGCTCTTTTTGCTGAGAATTTGGTTAACAATCTGGAGATTTATAAGAAATTATTTTAGGAGTAACATAATTAAAAACTTAATATATGAAATAAAAAATAATGTGTTTTAAATTTTTATTTAATGTTTACAATGCAAATCCAATTAGATCCACTTATTCAGTAAACAAAGCAAGTCTACTAAAAGACAGAAGATATTACTTTATAAACTGTATGGTGAATAAATCATATCAACATTTTAATATTACTATTATTATAAAACAATAATATTAGTGAAACTAATTTAAAAATGGAATAAATATAAACTTACACACATCTATACAAGTAAATACAGAGACTCGATGAGAGGCCAAACATCTGTGGAAATCTGCGGATTTCTGTGTCCATAGATTCCGTGAGGGCCTAATTATCACTGCAAGACCTATAATATTTGGCCATGAGGTATATTTTTGGAATTTAGGGCATCCTAGAATGTTTGGCACTCATCACAGAAATGTTATTTTCATCACAGAATGAAAATAATGTTACTCATCACAGAAATGTTATTTTCTTTAGAATTTTTTAATCTTTAGGGTTTTTTAAATTATTATTATTATTATTGTTTACTTATTTACTTTTTTATTATATACATTTTTCTTTCTCCCTTTTGATGCTGTGGTTAAAATATGACAGACATATTTTTGTTATTCATAAGATCCTTAAAATAGCAAGAGCTTGGGTACAGCTAATAAAGGAAGTCATACCTGTGAATCAGTGAGCTGGAAAAAGTCTTTATAGGCCAGGTAGACGAGGAAAGAGTTAACGCCTGCACACACAGAGTCAGCGTATGAAATTACAGAGGGAAATGAAGGAGAAGGTGAAACAGTGCAGCAGCAGGATTCCTGACTGATGGAGTAAATGCTAACTCTGCTGCGTTTGTACACCACACACAGATGTTTACATGAGTTAACACTGGCAGGGGTTTACCATGGTCTTTGACGAGTGCCTCCATCTCCTCCTGAACACCCTTGTGCCATTCAGTGATGTCCACGTGAAGAGAATAATCACAGCATGCTTTACTGTCTGCCCATTCCCTCCACTGATTGAAGGCTGAGATCAAACTCGTCCCGGGTTCAGGCACCACATGATCAACTGTGGATCAAAATGCATTTCAATCAGGTAATAATGCTGCTGTGAGCACAAACGAGGACAAACAGAGACATAAAACGTGTGCTATTTTAAGCACACCGTCTCCATCCTGTCTGCAATGCTGTTAGATGTTGGAAAAGATGGCTTGATCATAAAGGATACTGGTGGCTCGAGAAAACAGCATAAAGCAGATCTAACATCAATAAACTGTGTTATCTGATTACACCACTGGCAAATGTATCACAGTAGCTGTTTCTATCCTCCTATTTTTATGTGCATTTTGTAATATTGCATAAAAATGCTTATGGAAATGCCAAGAAACTTTGAAAAAATATATAATTTAACACATAATAGTGCACATAAACTATGATGAATACACATTTGCTGAAAAAAATTTCAGCAAGCACATTAGTCATGTGATTTTGCTTGAACAGATTACGTGATAACAAAAATGGGCACTATGGGACAGCATTAAAGGGTTACAGCCCTATTCCAAAATGGATTAAATTAATTTATTTCCCCAAAATTCTACTTACAAAACCCCATAATGACAATGTGAAACAGATTTTTTTTAAATTGTTGCAAATTTATTAAAATAAAAAACTTGAAAAATCACATGTACTTAAGTATTCACAGCCTTTGCTCAATACTTTGTTGGTGCACCTTTGGCAGCAATTACAGCCTCAAGTCTTTTTGAATATGATGCCACAAGCTTGGCACACCTGTCTTAGGGAATTTTTGTCCATTCCTCTTTGCAGTACCTCTCAAGCTCTAGCAGGTTTCATATAGGAAGCGACGGTGTACAGCCATTTTCAGATCTCTCTAGAAATGTTCAATAGGATTTAGGTCTGGGCTCTGGCTGGGCCACTCAAGGATATTCACTAAGTTGTTGTGAAACCACTCCATTGATATTTTGGCAGTGTGCTTTGGGTCATTGTCCTGCTGGAAGATGAACCGTCACCCCAGTCTGAGGTCAAGAGCACTTTGAAGCAGGTTTTCATTCAGCATGTCTCTGTACATTGCTGCATTCATTTTTCCCTCTTTCCTAACTAGTCTGAAAAACATCCCCAAAGTATGTGGCTGCCACCACCATGCTGCACTGTGGGGATGGTATTACACTAAGATAAAAAGGTAGATAGAAAATTTAGTTTGTTATGGTCTGAGATTCCTTCAGATGCCTTTTGACAAATTCAAGGCGAGGAGGAGCTTCCGCCTGGCCACTATATCATACAGGCCTGATTGGTGGATTGCTGCATAGGGGGCTATCCTTTTGTAGGGTTCTCCTCTCTCCAAAGAAGAATGCTAGAGCTCAGCGAGTGACCATCAGGCTATTGATCACCACCCTGACTAAGACCCTTTTCCCCCAATCACTCAGCTTAGATGGCCGGCCAGCTATAAGAAGAGTCCTGGTGGACCCAAACATCTTTCTCTCTTACGCCCCATTTACACGGCGCCTCAGCGTCAACGCTTGACTGAAAGCGTGTCTGAAATTGGGGCTGAAGCGGTGGTCATAGAAGTGTCAGCCAATGACATTCAGTCAGCAATAGGCCACTGTCTAGCTGGTGTATTTGCATACAGCGATCTGATTAGCTGATGCTTCAGTTGGCGCTTGAAAAGTTGAGCTAGTCCCAACTTCTGCAGCGAGCAATGCCTCTGAAGCGGCGCCAACGGATCCACAATGCAGTTCGGCAACGCCTGATGTCACCCATTCAAAGTGAATGGGAAGCATTGATGCTGACGCCCCGTGTGAATGTGGCGTTATGGATGATGAAGGCTATTGCGGCCATTGGAACTTTCAGAGCAGCAGAAAGTTTTCTGTATCCTTCCCCAGCCTTGTGCCTCGAGACAATCCTGTCTCGGAGGTCTACAGACAATTCTTTTGTCTTCATGCTTGGTTTGTGCTTTGACATGCACTGTCAACCCTGGGACCTTATATAGACAGGTGTATGCCTTTTCAAATCATGTCCAATCAACTGAATTTACAACAGGTGAACTCCAATGAAGCTGCTGAAACATCTCAAGAACGATCAGTGGAAAAGTTTTCAGGTTTTTTATTTTTAATAAATTTGCAACAATTTAAAAAAAAAATCTTTTTTCACATTGTCATTATGGGGTATTGTGTGTAGAATTTTGAGGATATTAATGAATTTCATCCAGTTTGGAATAAGGCTGTAACAAAGATATGTGAAAAAAGTGAAGCGCTATGAATACTTTCCAGATGCACTGTATACTACTTATACTACAAAATGGGGTAGAATAGTGCATAAGAATGCAATTTGGGATGTGCTTTCGGTGTATGAGTTTCACACATACCGATCATGGTGGTTCCTCCAGCCAGAGCAGCACGGGTGCCTTGGTAGAAGTCATCAGCAGCAGTCATACCCCTGTCAGGCATCTGGAAGCGTGTGTGCACATCAATACCACCAGGCATCACCATGCGCCCATGGGCATCGATGGTTTTCACCCCACCGGGCACTATTAGATTTTCTCCAATTTGCCTGTAAGTGAGCGTGAGATATGAAAAAGCAATATACAATCTGATAAACCTTAATGTCATTTCAGGGGCCACGTTTAGAGGGCTATTGCATTATCTTATTATGTGTCATATGATATAAGGGCATATTTTGAACACAGGTCCCAAGAAGAAGAAGTCAAATGTTGCTGTACACTTACACTTGGACCAATTTTATTGAGTAGAAAGAATATTCAATGACAGTTTTTACTTACTAATATTTCACATAACATTTGAATAAAATACAATATGAAGACGTGAGTAAATTAATGTTCTATTATCATTCAGCGTAACAGATATGTAAAAATGAACAGCATACTTGTTCTGATGTGTTCTTATTAATACATAAACACGAGGAACTACTTTTTATACTATTAATACTACAATATTAATCTACATTATAGGGTTGTGCCGATAGACGATGCCAACAAACTTCACGATTCTGAGCCGGCATCGCGATCCATCGCGACTACATTTATATTGATATATAACTTATTATTTACATGTCATCTGAATAGCAATAACGGTCTTTTCATGAGCTGTTTTAAATTTTACATATAGCTGCCACTTGCACGCTGACAGCATCCTGAGGATTAAATGAAGGATTATACAGAACCTCTCGCACTTAAAATTTGTAGATTCAGTGGCAAACACTGTTACCTGCAAACTCCGTCCCACAGACTTTACAGTGAATGGCTTTAGTCATTTTCATAGCGGACTTGAAACACTGGAAGTCTTTTATCCACTCTTGGAAAAGTGTAAATAGTGGATTAACATTCAGCACATGATCACTAATAAGATGTGCCATTATTAATAACTGTAGGTAAATCTGTCAGTGTTATTTTCATTCTCTCATCTTCAGCACTTCATATTTTCGCGATTGTAGCTCCTGTCATCTGAAGGCAGAAGGCATTGACTGAGTGATTGACAGCTGACATTAACCAATTATTCGAGTTTAGTTCTAAAGCAGTGAGCCCATAAGAAGAGCACAAAGGCGGGGCAAGCATTGCAGGCTTTTTTACTTCAGCAAGTTCACATAACTGCTTTAATCTGTTCCTGAGTGCGGTGTTGGGCAATTTTAGGTGCAAAGATGCATTCTGCATAAATGTCTCCTAAATCTGCGCACGCGATGAGGATTTTGCAGTGAAAACAATGCACTGCAGTGAACTCCAACTGAACTCTCGTCTCCTCCACCAGCTGTGGGAAAAGCCATTAGAATGCGGAAAAATAAGTGATTGACAGGTGGTCATTTGTTTGTAACTTTATTTATATATGGTTTGGTTATGGGTAAAGCAAAGACCATGTCGGTCAGTTAGTGAAAACTGTAGGCTACAATTAATTAATTTGTTATGAATTAATTGATATTTAACAACCAACCCACCCCCGCCTACGACAACAATGGCATTGTCCATTGCGATGTTTCACATAAGTCATCGTACGATGCCAAATTGGTCAACATCGCCCAACCCAACTAAAATATATTATATTATATTATATTATATTATATTATATTATATTATATTATATTATATTATATTATATTATATTTTATTATATTATATTAATACTACAATATTATACTACATTATATTACATTATATTATGTAAGAAATTTCATTAATACAATATTATAATGCATTATATTATTTTATAAATTATATTAATACTACAATATTATAATACATTATATCATATTCTAAATTATATTAATACTAAAATATTATACTACATTATGTTATATTCTTAATCTCTCAAAATGTCTTGGCCACAAAAGGATAAAAAGTAGCAGTGTGAAATAGTGGTAAAATTTCGAATATTAAAAATGACAAATAATTCATATGTTGGTATTATTCCGTTGATTATTATCAGTGCTTGAGTACATTATAGTAAAAATGAATGATTTTTACAAATAAAACAGGACATATTCAAGTGTATGGATATCTCACACTCACTTGATCAGGCCATCCTCCATATAGATGTCGGCACAGAACGACTGATCATCGTTCACAATCTTAGCCCCTTTAATCAGGAGACGGTCACTCTGGAAACACAGATAAACACAAAGTCCCATCAGAATCACATTTATGTACATTTCCTAATTATCTGTTAGCATGCCAAGTAAACAAGTTGTTAAAAGACTTGATATCATTAGGAATTATTCTATATGATCACCCCGATAGTATGATGTTAACCAGGAGCCAGTTAATCAGAGCTCATAATGCAGTAGTATATCGTCACCCACATTCTTTACAAACAGCATCAGGGAATTCTGTGGCCTTCACAATTATAAACACATGTTCACCATGGAATATTTATCTGTCATTGAGCTACAATGTGCTCAGTTGAACATTGGAGACACTGATTCACTTCTATAACCTGAAAGTTGGCGCTAATTTTTCTGGTGTAAAGAGTACTGCATTAGAGTTAGCAGTTCTGATTCATCTTAGCGACTCAAAACTTTTGAAGCTGTTCACAAAAATGATTTGTTCTAAATCAATCAGTGACTCTTTTGAAAGGTTTCACACAGCCATCGACAATTTAAAAGACTTTTGTCAGTACTTGTTATTAAGAGACTTCTTAGTTTGATATGTCTCTGGATTAATGATTTTATAGTTATGCATTTGGAATAAAACTTTACATTTTTATTCAGAAAGCAACTGAAGACATTTTCCAAATTTAAGTTACAGCAATTTGTACATTAAATAAAATGGAGTCATGTTTTCATGAGTCAAACACCTATGTAACAGCTGTTTTACTTCAATATCTGGTGGAATAATCTAGACTTTTGAAGACTTTTTAAGAACTTTTTTAAGACCACTAGGAATGAAATTTTAGACTTATACAGGGCTAAACACTAAGGATTTTTTTCAAATGGCTCGGTTGTTGTTGCTTTTTTTAAATGTCATTGATACAAGTTATTTCTTTAAATTTTTCAAAACAAGAAAACTTGTATATACTTTTTTCAACATAGAGTTTCTTTTTTTCAATAACAAGTTTAACATTGTTAAAAAAATATTTATTATAGACAAAATTTTATGAATGATCAAAAACATATATTTGTTGGCTTTTTGTCCGAATGGATTGAGTTTAACTCTTAAATGCTTTCCTGTTATAAAGCCTTAGCGATTCCATGCTTATTTATAAATATTATGTCGCTTCCCCTTATTTTTCTGTATATATTTTTGTATAACTGAAGGATCACTGCTCTGTTATTATCATGAGGAATTGTGTACTTGTTTTTAGATTTCTTTCCCTGATTAGACAATTTGATTTGGACAATTTGCCATAAAAATGGCTGTTGTCAATTGCTCTTTCCAATAAAAACACATATTTATTACTGGTGATTGGATGGTTGTTGGACCGATTGGGTAGCTTTACTTTGACAGAGGGACATTAAGACATGTTTAAAATGTTTCGAGACACACAACACAATATTTCAGGGAATTTAAGACTTTTTAAGGCCTAAAATTCTGCTTTTGAAATTCAAGACATTTTAGGACTTTTTAAGACCCCGCGGACACCCTGATATGGTATTATGGCCAATAGTGATTGTTTTTGAAAAATCAAATCTCTAAATAACAATATTTTATTTGACATTTAGAACAAATTATATCAGAAATTCCAAGACAACAACACTTTACTCAAACAAACCCATACTTAATAAATCTAGTAAATCCAGAGACATTTTTCATAGCTGTAATTATGCCAGTTGGCGGCAACAAAGTGAATCTTTTGTGAGTGGGTCAATGAATCATTCACTTATCCAAGTCTTGAAAAAGTGGTGTTATTAAAATACGGATGCCTGAGTTCTACAGCAGTGTATTTTTACACAATTATACACACTGATAATACTCCACCATTCTTATCTCTGTGGTGTAAACAACAGTGATTCACATGCTAAACTGAACAAACTACAAGCAGTTACTTGTTCTCAATGTTTCAATTGTTCAGTTTGTTCACAAACAAGACGTCCCAGTTCATTCATGAGTCTCATTCAGGCTAAAAACACAGACATGGTTCATGATGGTGGGTGGGATGGTACATTCACATTTTGATTGGTTGGTGTTACAGTCAATCTTTAAAAAAATTAATAATACAAATATACATATACAAAACAAGAAAAGAATGAACAAAATGTTTTACTTATGTAGCTACTAATTTACAAAATATTATTAATATACTATTACTATTAATATCTGCTATTATTTATTTAAAAAATATATAAATTAAATTCTTTTATTTATTTTCATATTTGCAACACTGATGTACTTTATAATTATTACGAAAAGATAAATAATTAGAATTATGCTTGTCTTTCTGTAATAATTCAGTAAAATATATTTTTAAATAAAATATTAAAATACTGTAAACTCATCTTTGTGTAGTGAATAATAATAATAATAATAATAATAACAATAATAATAATAATAATAATACATGAATAATGAAGAAAGGCAAGCACTTGGGCAAAAACATATTTTCTTTAAGTAAAAAAAAAATAAACAAACAAACAAAATAAATAAATACCACATTAATATTAAATAACTTAATTAAATTACTTAATTGTCACAAAGACACATATCCCTAAAGGACTTCAAATCCGCCATTATATGGACTATGGATCCAGTCATGCACCGCTCACATGCACCTGTTTGGAATTCTATTGATTTTGCACACTCACAGCTGGGAGCCACTCATGAACAGATAACATAGACTTTAAACCACACACACACTTTAGTGCTGAATCTTGTTTATTTGTTACAGTGAACATTACCACACATTTCTCTTGCCTTGCTTTGCTGTGTTTTGACCCTCGCCTTGTTTTTTTGTTTGCAATTTCTGCTACCTGTACTGACCATTCGCCTGTGTATTGACTACGACTCTGGATTCTCTGTATGTATATTTTTTTAGGACCCCGCGGACACCTTGTAATATGCAGTCCGGCGCAGCCTTCGCATACACGCTCACCTCTCAAAGACATATACTTACACATCACAACCACACATAGCACAAACTTTATGATTGGTCGGTTTGGTATCAGTGACAGCGATGCAGAGAGACACGTTTTAGGGAACATGTGTTTTAATTTCAGTTGTTCAACGTTGGTGTTCAATAAATAATCATAGATAGTAGATAATGTGTGTTTACTTCAATAATTTTAAAATAAAATAATCCACCCTACATTCTAAAATCACTTGTAATATGTGAGCATATTTAATGTACAAAACTTGTCAGTAAACTATGAGGGAAAATACATGTTATAAATAAATAATATAATCGCTGATTAATTGTAACCGAGTTAAAATGTTTAATTAATCAAGATTTTGATTTTAGGCCAAATCGCCCAGCCCTTAAATCAATAAATAATCAGTCAAACAACAGAATAAAAACACTGGCTATTCAGATTTTTTAAAGCAGTCTAGTGCAGTCTAGAGTTGATGAAAAAATAACAATGAAATAAGAACGACTTGTTCACTTAACAACAACAAAAAACCTCATTAAGACACAGAAAAAAAGTTAAAAATTTTCCCTTAATAATCCATGAGCTTTATGTACTGTCCAGCAATAAATGAATGTGATAAGACTAGTTTCTTTTTTATCATTCCACCCTACAGTATGAAGTAAAAGCAAAAGTTGGCTCGACTTGCTGCTAAAGACACCACTGGCCAGGCCTCTCTTTACATCCAGGGCCCCAAAAGAACGGCCATTTTTCTGAAAGGGGAGCAGTGGAACAATTCCAGTCACAAGGTCCTCGGCATCATACGGGACAAAGGCGTCTCTGTCTCTGTTTCTGCCTCTTTGCGTGCTTGTTGGCAACCCGGCAACATGAGGCCCTGTGTGGCTTCCCAAGCCCTGCCCTGATTCACTTAGCGATGAAAGCAAATACTCCAGTGACCTGACATCTTCTACTACACAGCATTACAGAGGACAACAACACCTGACACAGTCCTGCAACCTAACTCTGCATCATTACCCGCCAGATTTAGTAAATTTAAAGAAGACATAGCAAGCAATTACAACTTTTCTGGGTTTGAGTGCTATAATTAGATTCCTGGTAGTGTTTTCATAGAAAAAAATCTGCAAAAAGTGTGCAAAATATATAGCTGTGACTGGCTACAGTGATCATCGCTTCAAGATTGCACAAGAGTGTTTGAAAGTAATGAATGCAAGCAAACAAATCTGTCGGAGTTTGTTAGATCAGTAGCTGTGTTTCCATCCCTTTTTAATACACATATTTGTGGAGGGCATAATAAGGGGCAGATCACACCGAACACGCTTTTTGCGTTGAGAGGCGCTTTTTTCATAATAATTTACTAAGGGCTGCGAAAGTTTTGCTTGCTGCTTATGTGCCCTGTGCGCTTCACTGTTTAATCGGCTGCTGTGCCTCGTGTTTTAACTGCCTACTGCGACTTGCATTTTAACTCCCTGCTGTGCCTCGCACTTTTGTCGTTGCATGCTGTGCACTCACAGTTTAAAAAGGTAAACTCTGAGTGGCAAAAGCACCTTATGTCAGTCGCGTCTTTTTCATTTTCCAATCAAATGAAAGCAGAGGCGGAGTTTCAGTTGAGGTGACAGCAGTGTTTGTGTTGTCAAGACGACTACGGAGACTTTTGAAGATGGAGGAATGACTAGTGGTCGCTGTTTTGAGTTATCCGGAGCTGAATGACTTCACAAATCTTGACTATCACAATATTAAAAAATATTAAAATTACACCAATATCAACAGCAACACTCATGCACAATAGGCAGCTGATTCAGCCACAGGGTATATGCAGGAATCCTAAAGATAATTTCAATGCATCATAATGACTTTTTAAAAGACTTTGACTATTTAAAGACCTCATCATCACTTCAATTTCAAATCAGTATCAAACCTTTAACTTAATAAACTGTTGTTAATGAACAGTTGTAGTTAAATAAATCAATGGAGCACAACCATGCAACAGAACTCGGAATAAACAAAGCTAAAGAAGCTTCGGAACAAACAAAGTTTGCAAGAACAAATTATGTGGTTGTTTTTCAGCGACTGTTTAAACTCCT